CTGTCAACTTTTTATCAATTTAGCTGTAGTATGACCAGATGCTCACTAATTCTCTTGTTTATATTATACTTGATATTTAGTCAAAAATATTATTTGGGATCCTTCATATTATTATAGATCACAGATTTCTGAAAATTTTCTTAAATTTTTTGAAATAAACAAGAAACTAGAAGAGCCGGTCATTAGAATACTTTATTAGTTATGTACATATTATTCTTTATGTAAATATTATTTATTTTTCTTTACTATTTTATTGACAAACATTGTGATTCTTCAAGATTATTTTAGTATGTACATATAAAACATTTAGCATTTTGTTCGTTAATTTCTAAATTTAAATTCAAAATTTAAACAAGAACATAATAGAAAACTAAGGAACGATTGACGATAAAAACGTAAATTTAATAGCGAAACTTTAAAAATACAGGGTTACATAATAAAAACTGCACACTTTTCATTTAATCATAACCTTTTACTTCTTAGAATTTTTTAATTTTTTTCCGCTTATTACATATATCTTGCTTATTACATATCTCTTTCAGAACTTTTAAGCCTGATTCCATTTACTTGTTTAGCACAAGAAGATATAAATTCTAACAAGGAGAATAAGAGAATCTTTTAGACAATTCCCATGCCCGACCCTATTTAATTTTTAAATTGAACCGAAAAATTCCCCACGTTCGGTTACAGTAATTAGTCGGAACTATTCCCTGAAACACTTAATAATGGTCAAAATATTAAAGTTTAATCTAATCAGCTTTTTCAAGGGAAAATGAATTTAAATTTATATAAAAATGAATTAAATAATTCAAAAATCTCAAGAAAGAGATAAACAATATGTAAATTATTCTTCGTATTTTTGTTAATTAATTAGCAAAATTTTTAAAATTTTTGTTTTGTTTGTTTTGAAAAAATGTCATGCTGTCACAATTTTTGCAAAAGCAAGGAGGTGTTGGTGCTTCTACAGGTTTTTTCTCCAACAAATTATTATTGTTCCTTGATAGTGAAGAGGCAGAAGAACTTGGGATTATAAATTGTGTTTAAGATTATAAATTTTGATTATTTTGTAATACTAATATTGTCTTTGACTAAGTTTTATACACCTAGTTGAATATTGGCTTGTGTCACTTAGGATATTGATCAAGGTTGGACACTTCCGGTTATTAACCGATACACGCGGATTTCTGTTTCAGTTTGGTTAACCATTTGTGTCCAACCATATTATTGATGTTAGTTATACAAAGATTCACGCCCCCATGTTATGTTTTTACTAGGAGCTCTCCTTATTGAGCTATATGTGCTTCTAGAATGTTCAAATTATTCAGGAATGACTGGCTGTTAATATATTATACATACATAAATCTTTGATTTATACTTAATTATATATTGCGGAATATATTTGTAAAATTTACCCAAAAATGTTTTCGAATTGACTCATTACAAATTGTGCCAAATTTCTCATAAAATTGGCACTGTCTTTGACCATTTGCTCTTCAAATTCACGCATTTCTTGAAGATATTCCTCAATTTGTTGTTGTTCCTCCGATGTTGGTGTACGTTCCTCACCATTATCGTTAATTACACCATCCTAAATTAATTTTAATATTTATTTAAATAATTTATATTTTGAATTATTTTTTAATAAAAATTATAAAAATTTCTTAGAATTTATATTTTACTAGGAATGGCTTATAATTAAGTAAGACCGATCGAATAAAGCTTTCTCTTTTATCATTTTAGAACGTTTAACACCCGCGTCCTTGTTTAAAATTTTAAATGCTCTAGGTGAATCATCATTACAATAATTTATATTTTATTTTTAATTAATTTTTAATAAAAATTATAAAGATTATTGAGAATTTCTATATTACTAAGAATGGCTTATAATAATGTAGTCCGATAAGTTCATTCCTTTAAAAAAAGATAACGACAGGTGGGATGGTAGATGCGATAAACAAGCAAGCTTCTGAAGGTCTTTCAGATCCGAATATTTGGAGTGAGAAGATCTTTATAAAAAACCAAACCTCATACACGCATGCTTGACCATCACTTTCATTGTTATCATCTACATCATTAACATATTTTGAAGTTGTATTAATGTCCAACCCATTTACATCATTATCATCTTCAGGAAATTCATTGTCTACACCAGATCCTTCATTATTTAGTTGGTCTTCCTCATCTTCTTTAATTTTTTCTGTTGTGTATTCATTAATGCGGTTATTCTCTTCGTTATTTAACAGTGCACTTGTATCATCTTCGTTAATAAATTGAGGGTCTTGAAGATTTTGATTGTCAAACAAATTGGATGGTTGTTGCTCATTATCATTCTGTACAAATTTATTATTTAGATAAAGACAGGTACAGTATTTTTTATTAAGCCATTCTTTCTAGCCGAACGCCCGTATTTATTAAAGTGCTCATAGAGTGGGGATCAAGGAATTTTGCATTTTATAGGATGATAATGTAAATGATAATAGGTAGCAAATTTTAGATTAAATTTTTTAATCATTTTTTGTATAAATATATTTTTAGTCTATCTACTAATTTAGATAGACTAAGAATTTTTTTTGTTTTTATTATAAAAAAATTTCAATATTTAACTTTGAGTGTTATTGAATTTTTTGAATAGTTTATAAAATAATTTTGTTCTGTTAAATAAATATCTTTACCTCTTGAACATCATCAGAGTCGGCAAACACAACACTGAATTTATTATCAGAATTTTCATTGCCACTATCTCCGCTATTAGAATCTTCAGTAATAATTTTGTTTATAATTAAAAGCAAAATTAAAATTTTTAAGTACATTTTTTAATTAAGAAACTTGTGGTATTATTAATTTTAAATGTCAATTGAAGCATTATTTAAGCGTTTTTATTTTCAAATTATGTAAGGGGTAAATTAAAGTTTAGTTAGATTTTTGCCTTTTTTCTATTTTGAAATTAAAAAATGGCTGATTAAAAAATTCTTACTTCAAAATTTAATTTTTAAATTCATCCTTCTATCTATAGCCTTATTTTTAAGCATTATTGGGAAATTTTCAGATGTTTGAATGACTAATAAAAATTATTGAAAGGAGATGATTTGAAAAGCTGAACAAATAAATCTAGTAAAATTCAAAGTGCAGATTTATTGGGCAATAATTATTGACTAAAAAATTTTAAATTAAAATAATTATTTTGAAATAATTAATTCGTCATCTATTCTTTATCTACATATTTTCTACTTTAATTTTAAATTCAAAAATTTTAAATCAAAAACTAAAAAGATTACGAATATATTTTGTATTTACAATACTACTTGTTTTATTTTTGCTTTATCGATGAAGATCTGAAAACTAGGACAAGACGAGACAGATACCGAGATTTTCGGGTTTTTTCCAATATCGGTCTCGGTTTTTTCATTCTCATTCTCGAACCTGATACAAAAATTCTCGGTCCATTTCTCGGCGAGAAACGATACTAACTAGAGATCGGCTCGATACGATATTTTTTCGATATTTTTCGATATTTTTCGATATTCGATATTTTTCGATATTTATCGAAAAATATCGACCGAAAGAATTTAAATATCGAAAATATCGACCGACCAAATACAAAATATCGAAAAAAATATCGAATGTCATTTTTGACAAAAATTTGAATTTTTGGCGTCAAAAAGGGTGAAGCGTCAAAAAGCGTGTCTGGTGAAAACGGCAGTGGTGAATTGGGCAGTGAGTAATTTGGGCAGTGAGTGATTTGGGCAGTAAACGTTTTTTAAAAAATAATTTTACACGCAAAAACAATTTGAGTAACGTTAGAAGAATAATTTTGAGTGATTTGGGCAGTAACTTAGAATTTTTAGATTATTTACACAAAAATTCAAAGAACCGCACCCCTTTTTCATTTTGATAACGTTGTAGGTACAAAATTACCCTTTGTTAAAATCGTCTTGGTCTCAATCCAATTTTATCCTGACTGCATTTTACAAATTCTAAGTTACTGCCCAAATCACTCAAAATTATTCTTCTAACGTTACTCAAATTGTTTTTGTGTGTAAAATTATTTTTTAAAAAACGTTTACTGCCCAAATCACTCACTGCCCATATCACTCACTGCCCAATTCACCACTGCCGTTTTCACCAGACACGCTTTTTGACGCTTCACCCTTTTTGACGCCAAAAATTCAAATTTTTGTCAAAAATGACATTCGATATTTTTTTCGATATTTTGTATTTGGTCGGTCGATATTTTCGATATTTAAATTCTTTCGGTCGATATTTTTCGATAAATATCGAAAAATATCGAATATCGAAAAATATCGAAAAATATCGAAAAAATATCGTATCGAGCCGATCTCTAGTTAGTATCGTTTCTCGCCGAGAAATGGACCGAGAATTTTTGTATCAGGTTCGAGAATGAGAATGAAAAAACCGAGACCGATATTGGAAAAAACCCGAAAATCTCGGTATCTGTCTCGTCTTGTCCTAGTTTTCAGATCTTCATCGATAAAGCAAAAATAAAACAAGTAGTATTGTAAATACAAAATATATTCGTAATCTTTTTAGTTTTTGATTTAAAATTTTTGAATTTAAAATTAAAGTAGAAAATATGTAGATAAAGAATAGATGACGAATTAATTATTTCAAAATAATTATTTTAATTTAAAATTTTTTAGTCAATAATTATTGCCCAATAAATCTGCACTTTGAATTTTACTAGATTTATTTGTTCAGCTTTTCAAATCATCTCCTTTCAATAATTTTTATTAGTCATTCAAACATCTGAAAATTTCCCAATAATGCTTAAAAATAAGGCTATAGATAGAAGGATGAATTTAAAAATTAAATTTTGAAGTAAGAATTTTTTAATCAGCCATTTTTTAATTTCAAAATAGAAAAAAGGCAAAAATCTAACTAAACTTTAATTTACCCCTTACATAATTTGAAAATAAAAACGCTTAAATAATGCTTCAATTGACATTTAAAATTAATAATACCACAAGTTTCTTAATTAAAAAATGTACTTAAAAATTTTAATTTTGCTTTTAATTATAAACAAAATTATTACTGAAGATTCTAATAGCGGAGATAGTGGCAATGAAAATTCTGATAATAAATTCAGTGTTGTGTTTGCCGACTCTGATGATGTTCAAGAGGTAAAGATATTTATTTAACAGAACAAAATTATTTTATAAACTATTCAAAAAATTCAATAACACTCAAAGTTAAATATTGAAATTTTTTTATAATAAAAACAAAAAAAATTCTTAGTCTATCTAAATTAGTAGATAGACTAAAAATATATTTATACAAAAAATGATTAAAAAATTTAATCTAAAATTTGCTACCTATTATCATTTACATTATCATCCTATAAAATGCAAAATTCCTTGATCCCCACTCTATGAGCACTTTAATAAATACGGGCGTTCGGCTAGAAAGAATGGCTTAATAAAAAATACTGTACCTGTCTTTATCTAAATAATAAATTTGTACAGAATGATAATGAGCAACAACCATCCAATTTGTTTGACAATCAAAATCTTCAAGACCCTCAATTTATTAACGAAGATGATACAAGTGCACTGTTAAATAACGAAGAGAATAACCGCATTAATGAATACACAACAGAAAAAATTAAAGAAGATGAGGAAGACCAACTAAATAATGAAGGATCTGGTGTAGACAATGAATTTCCTGAAGATGATAATGATGTAAATGGGTTGGACATTAATACAACTTCAAAATATGTTAATGATGTAGATGATAACAATGAAAGTGATGGTCAAGCATGCGTGTATGAGGTTTGGTTTTTTATAAAGATCTTCTCACTCCAAATATTCGGATCTGAAAGACCTTCAGAAGCTTGCTTGTTTATCGCATCTACCATCCCACCTGTCGTTATCTTTTTTTAAAGGAATGAACTTATCGGACTACATTATTATAAGCCATTCTTAGTAATATAGAAATTCTCAATAATCTTTATAATTTTTATTAAAAATTAATTAAAAATAAAATATAAATTATTGTAATGATGATTCACCTAGAGCATTTAAAATTTTAAACAAGGACGCGGGTGTTAAACGTTCTAAAATGATAAAAGAGAAAGCTTTATTCGATCGGTCTTACTTAATTATAAGCCATTCCTAGTAAAATATAAATTCTAAGAAATTTTTATAATTTTTATTAAAAAATAATTCAAAATATAAATTATTTAAATAAATATTAAAATTAATTTAGGATGGTGTAATTAACGATAATGGTGAGGAACGTACACCAACATCGGAGGAACAACAACAAATTGAGGAATATCTTCAAGAAATGCGTGAATTTGAAGAGCAAATGGTCAAAGACAGTGCCAATTTTATGAGAAATTTGGCACAATTTGTAATGAGTCAATTCGAAAACATTTTTGGGTAAATTTTACAAATATATTCCGCAATATATAATTAAGTATAAATCAAAGATTTATGTATGTATAATATATTAACAGCCAGTCATTCCTGAATAATTTGAACATTCTAGAAGCACATATAGCTCAATAAGGAGAGCTCCTAGTAAAAACATAACATGGGGGCGTGAATCTTTGTATAACTAACATCAATAATATGGTTGGACACAAATGGTTAACCAAACTGAAACAGAAATCCGCGTGTATCGGTTAATAACCGGAAGTGTCCAACCTTGATCAATATCCTAAGTGACACAAGCCAATATTCAACTAGGTGTATAAAACTTAGTCAAAGACAATATTAGTATTACAAAATAATCAAAATTTATAATCTTAAACACAATTTATAATCCCAAGTTCTTCTGCCTCTTCACTATCAAGGAACAATAATAATTTGTTGGAGAAAAAACCTGTAGAAGCACCAACACCTCCTTGCTTTTGCAAAAATTGTGACAGCATGACATTTTTTCAAAACAAACAAAACAAAAATTTTAAAAATTTTGCTAATTAATTAACAAAAATACGAAGAATAATTTACATATTGTTTATCTCTTTCTTGAGATTTTTGAATTATTTAATTCATTTTTATATAAATTTAAATTCATTTTCCCTTGAAAAAGCTGATTAGATTAAACTTTAATATTTTGACCATTATTAAGTGTTTCAGGGAATAGTTCCGACTAATTACTGTAACCGAACGTGGGGAATTTTTCGGTTCAATTTAAAAATTAAATAGGGTCGGGCATGGGAATTGTCTAAAAGATTCTCTTATTCTCCTTGTTAGAATTTATATCTTCTTGTGCTAAACAAGTAAATGGAATCAGGCTTAAAAGTTCTGAAAGAGATATGTAATAAGCAAGATATATGTAATAAGCGGAAAAAAATTAAAAAATTCTAAGAAGTAAAAGGTTATGATTAAATGAAAAGTGTGCAGTTTTTATTATGTAACCCTGTATTTTTAAAGTTTCGCTATTAAATTTACGTTTTTATCGTCAATCGTTCCTTAGTTTTCTATTATGTTCTTGTTTAAATTTTGAATTTAAATTTAGAAATTAACGAACAAAATGCTAAATGTTTTATATGTACATACTAAAATAATCTTGAAGAATCACAATGTTTGTCAATAAAATAGTAAAGAAAAATAAATAATATTTACATAAAGAATAATATGTACATAACTAATAAAGTATTCTAATGACCGGCTCTTCTAGTTTCTTGTTTATTTCAAAAAATTTAAGAAAATTTTCAGAAATCTGTGATCTATAATAATATGAAGGATCCCAAATAATATTTTTGACTAAATATCAAGTATAATATAAACAAGAGAATTAGTGAGCATCTGGTCATACTACAGCTAAATTGATAAAAAGTTGACAGAAGAAATATGAGAGCAATATGCTCTAGTTTTTACTTTCTTGTACATAGTCTTTTACTTGCTCTTTAAATAAACTCATTTTAATGACCTTTAGTTGGGCTTCCACCTCTCTTTTTGCTCGGGCTTAAACTTGTTCTTGGACTCTTTTTTCCTTCTAACTGTTCATGATGACTACCGCTCCCTTGTTCATGAAGGCGTTTTTCTATCATTTTTAAATAATTTTATTTAATAAATAAACTTACTACCAGTAATCGGAGTAGATACTTTTCCCCTTTTGACTACATATGTTCCCTGATTCGACTTTTGTTTTTCGAGAAATTCCAAATAAGGCATTTCTCCGTATAGTTTAACGAGGAATAAACGAGCAACCCCTTCCATGTTTTTATCATTCAAATTTAAGCAAATTTCAACTGGAACCTTCTTAGTCGATTTTGCTTTACTGGAACTGGATTCTCCCGTTTCTTTGCCGGCGATTTCTTCAGTTTTTTCTAATTTCCCCTCTTCAACATATTCAGTCCGGCATGCCTAAAATATTACTTTAGTTAAGGAAAGGTCAGAATTAAGTTTAGTGGTTGTTGCAATAAAATTTCCATAAATTAAGATACAAAATCATGTGTTGTCAAAAATATAGCAACCTTGAAAGTCTTAAGAACAAAATCAATCTTTTCCTCTATACTGAACATGTTTCTTATTTTCTTATCAAGAAGATTTTTAACTTTAAACTCTCTTTCTTTTTTTAATTTAAAGTCTTCGACATCTCCAAATGTAATATGCTCAACTGGCAAATCTACTTGCATTTCATCCTGTTTTTCTTTCTTTGCTACTTTTGACTCCTCTTTAATTACTTTTTCCTTTAGTAACTTTACTTCAGTCGAATCTTCATTAACTTTAATCGTCATCCACATTGCTTTTATTGCATCACTTCCATGATCTGCTTCAAATTCATTTAAATTTTTGTGGTCAATTCCAAAAGCGTAGGTTACAGATTCTGTCCATGCATTGTCTGTGTTTGTCTGTAAAATATTGAAATTGAATTACCGAACCAAATACGTTAAAGTTCTATCACCTCTTTCGCATCATTATAGCCAAATATCACCAATTCTCCATCACCCATAAGAGTTTTGAGTTTATTTTCGAATTCAGCTTTTTCTTCTTTCCCTACCTTTTTATTTGCTAGACCTTCTTCAATTAATTCTCTCTTTGCTGCATCTTCAAATTCTTCATCTGGATCAACATACCCTCCTGGAGTAGTGATTCTTCTATCTATAAGTGATAGTATTTTAATCCATACTACGATAAAACTTTTATAAGTATTTAATTTTAATTTAGAAGGTAAATTAAAAAATAAATTTAAGGATGCTTAAACATCGGTTAGACATGATTGGGGAGATTTATTAAAAGTTGGGAATCCATGTGTTGAATGGGAATCCAAATGAGACAACAATGTTGTTCACAATTTTTCGAATTTAATTAAGGTGTCAATAAGTATTTTCAAACTCACAGGCTCGAGTTTAATGTGTTAAACCCTTACTTTTTGATGAAGAATATATAGTATACCTTCTGGTCTCTCATACTTCCCATTCATAACGCCGAGAAATGAAAATTCATCATTTATGCTTTTTGAGTATAAAATTGCTCCAACTCCTTTACTTGGTCCCCATTGGTACAATTCTCCACGTGTAATAAAACCAGTACGTGTAATTGGGTTGATTGGATAACCATTTTCATCCAACTCGTATTTTCTAATAATTATTTATAAATTTTTTAATATTTAATTTTGTGTCGTGATTGTGGTTGTACAAAAAGAAAAATATAAATTATCGGGATTGAAACGGTATTTCCCTGGTTTGTGTCTTTCCAAGATAATGCTGGACTATGGGTTCAGAGTTAGTATCCTGGTTTCTAGTTTCAGTTGATTTTATAAAAATAAGAATTTTCAAACCCATAAAATGAGCAACGATCAAGTATTCGTTTCTCATTTTTGTCATAATCATGATGAATAATCAAATCCTTTTCACTATCAGTGTGCCATAATCCACTATATTTTTTAACATCCTCGTCATCAGGTTTAATCCAACTACTTGCTGGCAAATGTCCCCTTTTCAAATGAAGACCTACAACCACATTTGGTTTGTATGGTTTATAGAATCCAGCTAAAAATTAACTTATTATTAGAAATTACAGATGGATAGTTTAGTTTGTAGTTTTTTATACAGGGTGGGGCAAAAGTTCGGCGACAAGTTTTATTTTGTCCTTTCTTAAAATTTACTTTAATTTTGCTTTTTGTTTGGATTTCCCATATTCTATGATTCGCGCTCTACACATTTTATTTTGAAAATTTTTTCCTATCTCGTAAAGTAAAAATTTTACATAATGTTAAAGAATCGTGCTTCTATTATTTCTTTGTATTTTAAAAATGTTCGAAAATATGACATCGCTAGACCGTGACCGGACAATCCGTCAATGGACAATCCGTCAGTGGAAAATCCGTCAGTGGACAATCCGTCAGTGGTCGGACAATGCGTCAGTGGACAATCCGTCAGTGAACAAATTTGTAATTCCTACCCATACCCTGACTACCGCGGCCAAAAATTTCACATTTTAACGTCTGGAGGATTATGAGAGATATCTAAAATTTGGAGATTAATGAGGAAATCAGACGATTTAGCTGGATTAAAGGATATACCTAAGTGGATTTGGAAGTTTTGGGCCATTTGGGAGAATTGTCGATGGATTTACAATAATGTCGATGGATTTAAAAGGATATAGGAGATTTGGATGGATTAGATTTACATGATTAACGGATGGGATTATGTTGGATTTAAATAGATATCGTGGAATTGTGGGAACTCTATGAATAAGAAAAAGTATTTAGATGGATATCATGGAACGACCTCCAAATCCTCTTAATCCGGTTATCTACTTTGATATCCCACTTAATCCCCGAAATCCATCTTAATCTTCTAAATTCCTCGATAACCACCATAATAATGCAAATCTTGTATATTCCCCTTAATCCCACAATATCTTTGAAATCCCCGATATCTCCCAAATCCACTTATATCCTTTAATCCAGCTAAATCGTCCGATTTCCTCGTTAATCTCCAAATTTTCGATATCTCTCATAACTCCTCAGACGTTAAAATTAAAATTTTGGCCGCGATAGTCAGGGTATGGGTAGGAATTACAAATTTGTTCACTGACGGATTGTCCACTGACGCATTGTCCGACCACTGACGGATTGTCCACTGACGGATTTTCCACTGCCGGATTGTCCACTGACGGATTGTCCGGGAGCCCGCTAGACGGCTCGATATCTGTCGTATGTTAGATTCCAAAGCCATAAAACCCACCCTGTAGTTTAGTTTTTTTTGTTTTTTTGTTTAATTGCTCAAAGTTTATTAGGAATTTTTAGGACTAAAATTAAAAGATAACATGAGAGCTATAAGAATGGCATTAGGTATCTTAAATTTGCAGTATAGATTATTTCAAGACGTTAGAATTTTAAATTTATAAAATAATTTAATCTTCTAATATTCAAAAATGAGATAAATGAAACATACAAACATCAATTTTACAAATTCCATCTTCGTT